GCATCATGAAGGCGACAAAGGACTTCCTGGTAGTATTCCTTTGTGATGGTTTGGCCTTGTGGTGTGTACTCATGATGCACAACCCCATGGGAGTCGAAGAAAACGGCCAATATGACCTTGACATTGCTGCGGATCTGCCGTGCTTTTTTTGGCCTCAGGGATGTCGGATGTTTCCACTGTGATGACTGCATCTTGGTTTCCGGGTTGTACCCATAAACCCACAACTCATCGCCTGTGATCATGGTGTTCAGAAAGTTGGGGTTACTGTTTGCATTGTCCAGCATGTCCTGTGCGATTTCCAGATGGCGTTGCTTCTGCTCCATTGTTAGCAGTTTCGGTACGAATTTCGCGGACACTCTCCTCATGGCCAAATCCTCGGTCAAAATCGAATGTACCGATCCGATGCTTACCCCTATCTCGTTCGCAAGTTCTCGCACTGTGATACGACAGTCCTCCATGACCAAAGTCCGCACTTGCTCAATGACATTCTCATTTCGGCTTGTTGAGGGTCTGCCTGAACGCAGTTCGCTGTCCACTGATGTGCGGCCATCTTTGAAGCGGTTGTACCACTCCTTTATCAGTGAGTTGCTCATGGCATCGTCCCCAAAAGCCTGTTGAATCTTGCGAATGGTTTCCACTTGGGTATCGCAAAGCTTTTGGCAAAATTTGATGCAATATCGCTGCTCATGTTCCATCATTTTACACCTTACTGGAATCTGATGAGTGCTCACTACACGTCCTCAATCATAGGCTGACTGCCAGCGACTGACGCTTTCTGCGGGTGGGAAAAAATTCACGGCTGCGCATGAATGTCCCCTCCACATCACGTGGGAAAAAAGAAGGTTCAATACTTTTTGAACACACCATGTAAGCTGTCAAAATTGGAATTTTCAACCAACTTGATCAAGCTTATTGGCTCTTTTCTCTAACAATGAAAATTCAGTGTTTCAATGGAAGGTGAAGTGTCTGTGCCAAGGGAAATTCAAGCAGGGGTTCCACAAGGTTCAGTCCTTTCCCCTGCACTTTTCAATATGTATACAAATGGTGCCCCACAAACACATGGTGTTCATCTAGCCCTCTTTGCAGACAACACCTGTCTGTATGCGACAGATCACAAGGAGGGTTTTGTTGTCAGAAAACTCCAGCATGGTCTCATCTCAATGAAGATGTGGTGTGAGCGCTGAAATATAAAAATGAATGAAGATAAGACTTGGGGGGGGGGTCTACTTCTCTCGCAGTCATCATCCGCCTGTGTCTCATTTTACATTGAATGGAAGAAATATTCCATTTGTAAACTGTGTAAAATATCTTGGTGAAATCTTTGATAAGAGGGTTACATGGAGACTGCACATAGAAATGATCAAACCAAGGCCTTCATAACATTTATTAGAGTGTGTTCCCTATTCAGAAGTGAGCGATTAAGCACTGACATTAAATGGATCCTCCACAAAGCTCTCATTGGATCTGTAAGACTTATGCTAGTCCCGCCTGGAAATTCGCGGCAGATACCCGTCTAATGGAATTTCNATACACCCATCTAGTGAAATGGCAACGCCAACAAAACAAGGTTCTCTGCACCATTGGAAATTTTCCAAGGTGCACACCGGTTTGTGATTAACACATGGCTTTCGAAATTCTGTATGTATACAATTATATAACAAAATTATGCAGGCAAGAAACAGAAGTCATACAAAATCATGATAACAATGTTCGCAATATTGGACAAGGTGAAGCCCGACATAGAAAGTATAAGAGGCTTGAACTTGGTGGCAATCTAGCATATGACTGTTCAAGTGACGAGACTGCCGTTGTAGCGGAAGCTACTAGAAATAGGGTATAATCTGCTGGACTGACAGAGGCCCTGTATATATTGTATATACATTTTTTTAACATGTTTAACATGTAAAATGTAAATATCCTTTACCATATGACAAATGACTTACTGCTACAAACATTGACTCTGACAGAGGTCCGCACCATAGCTCAAGCGGTTAGTCACTGGCTTCCCACCGCAGTGGCCCAGGTTTGATCCTGGGTCTGGTCAAGTGGGAATTGTGGTGGACAAAGTGGTGCTGGAGCAGGTTTTCTCTGAGTAGTTCAGTTTTCCCTGCAAATTTTCATTCCACCAAATTCTCCATCATCATAATCACCCGGTGCAGGCTACAATAGGTCAATCAGTGGCTGCTGTGCCAAGTGGACCCAGTTGGACTCCACCCCCCAAAAAGCGAAAAATGACTGATAAAAGACAGACACGTCCTCTTGTCAGAGAGGGCGCCTCACAAAATGAAGACCATAACTATCTGGGGCTTGACACCAAGACTGACTGACTGAGTGACTGACCGTCAGTTGCAGTGTAACTTTGACTCTGACTTTGACTGGAGCAGTTGCAAGTCAGTTGCCGGTAGGACATAGCCATGGGAAGTTTAAAGTGAAGAAGAATAAGAAGTCGGCCAGTGAGGACTTAACATGTGATTTTAAGACTTTATGTTTGCCGTAGTGCAGTGATATTGGAAGTGCGACAGTTATATTTTCTGTGTTAAAATCCATTGCCATGAAATTGACAGGGAAAACTGCAGAGGAATAGCCATTGTTTAGATCTCTTACCTAGCAACGACTAGTTAAAGCAGATATAGAAGACTTTATCTATGTGTTATAATTACGGTAATCTTGAAAGTGTTATAATTAATTGTAGTTATGACTGGTGACTATCCAATAAATCAATTTGCCAATTTAGCCCACATCTAAAGTCTCTAATGTACGTGACAGTATTATACCGGGTGTTCCAAAAAGAATGGTGGGGTTTCATTGCTGTATATCTCCGTCAGTTTTTGGTGATGAAAAGCAAAATGTATATGGACTCATAACATGGCTCTCAAATTTTCATTTTATATATCGCACTCTTTCCTAGTTCCATTTCCGACAGTTAGGAGGCGTGAATTGTAAGATGGCGACCTAGCAGGAGAAGGCCTATTGCGTGCTGAGATTTGAGGTGTCTAAATCCATCGTTACAGTGCGCCGTGAATTTCGTGTACGTTTTCAGAAGGAGGCGCCACATGAAAACAACATTCGCAGATGGTACCGGGAGTTTGTGGACAGTGGATGTCTCTATAAAGGCAAGAGTTCTGGGCGGCCATGTGTGCCACATGCAGACGTAGAAAGAGTGAGGGAGACGTATCAGAGAAGCCCAAGAAAATCATTACGTAGAGGAAGCAGAGAATTGCTTGTGGGGGGGGGGGTACGTGAAGGACATGGTTTATGTACCCCCATTGCCCCAGTCGCTCCAGGATCTCTGAAACAGAATCAGTCATGCTGTGTAGACCATCACACCTGAAATGCTGCAGCGGGTGTGGCAGGGATTCGACTATTGCATTGATGTGTGCCGGGTAACGAAAGGTGTGCACATAGAGGCACTTTGTTGGATGTACATAAAATTTGGACAGTTAAGCTTCCGATTGACACATGTTATGATTGTACACGGTAAGAAATACGAAATATATATGTATCTAAAACCCCACCATTCTTTTAGGAACACCCTGTATAATGAGTATGTCGCAATTAGAGATGGAAAAATGGGGTCCTCCTATAAGGCTGTTGTGAATTAAAATAGCATAATCAGATATGTTTTGCATCTCCAAGTATGGTTTGTGTTGATCCTTCTGCCCTCTCTCTACCTTGGGAAGGGTATAGAACCCATTTCTGAGGTTAGAGTACCTGAGTACCCATAAGGTGGATTCTCACACATCTGGTAATTACCTTCATGTGAAAGTGATGGTCATCAGAGGGGGACCTGCAGGGTAATGTGGGCTCCAAATGACTGGGGGTGGGGAACCTGGTATGCTTTACATTTGGTGCAGGTAAAGTTTTCAGTTTGTAAACACAAGAATCTTCACAGAGTGGAGATTGAACTCAGAACACTTTGAACAAGCGTCCTTTTTCTTGCCCGAAGCCCACCTGATCCTTGTTACTGTCAGTCATGTATGTACTGTAGAATTTCCTAATTTCTCCATGGATGAAGGGTTTAGGTGTTTGTGTTATGTCTGTAAATGATGTTGAAGCTGGTCCTCCCTTGTTTGAAGTCAACCTTAATTATGTTTAATACAGTAGAAGTTAGAATTAAATGTGAGCTGCCCCTCCCCTCTTTACCTTTCTTCCTAGAAAGAGGATGATGCTGCTTCCATCTCCTAGTTCTTGCTGTTGCGTTCTCAATACCTCCCGAGATACAGCGAGGTGTCTAAGCAGTACTTACGATGGCCCTAAGAACTTCCAAATAACGAAAGTGACAAAAGTTTAATATGACAACAAACAATAGAATACAGTATAATACAGTGGAAATAAAGATCCAATATATTGCCACTTTGAAACAGTTACGTCGCTTAATATTAGTCGAACACACCCACTTAGGGGGTCAGAGCTGTACACACAATGCCAGACAAAAATATAATAATTGCCCCATGAAAACCACAATTTATTTTTTTTATTGCTAGTGGGGTGGGACTAAGTCCCTTGTACTGCGGCCAATTCTGGCCTATTGTACCAGTCCCAGATGATAGGTGAGGGTGATTGTGGAGCAGTTGGTGGAATGAAGATTGGCAGGGGAAACCGAAGTACTCGGAGAAAACCTGCCCCAGCGCCACTTTGTCCACCACAAATCCCACTTGACCAGACCCGGGATCGAACCCACGCCGCCACAGTGGGAAGCCAGCGATTAACCGCTTGAGCTGTGGAACAGCCCAAAACCCCAATTTAGCTACAACTCCTCTCTAGCAAACAAACAATAGAATAGAATATAATACAAGAAAATACTGATTCAGTATTTGTGATGTTGAAACAGTTACCTTGTATGTGTAACATACAGAGTTGTACTGTGTAAAGGGGATTTAAATGAAATGCCATGCATGATAGCATGGGGATAAGGGTTAAAGTAACATTATTCAGTTAACGTTTTACGTTTGTAGTCAGTAGGGGTGAACTGCAGAACTGGATTTGTTTTCCTTTTTCAGTGGGAACGTGTCCGAGCATAGTGGAGCCAGAAGAGCCCAGTAAACTGAAAGCTTTAGAAGATTTAGATGCGCTTGGAAAAACTCTTCTCAAGCAGAGTTTACCCACTTCCTGTAAACTGGGTTCACAGTTTACCAAGTATGTACATTGCCATCTTTAATTGCTATACAGTTTTTTCACTGTTTTTGTGCCTGAACTCCACATTCATTGGAAACCTCAATTTCCTATTCAGATATACAGGCAATTATTGACAATGCAATGGTGAAAAATTAAACTTGCCATCACTTTCTGTGTTCCTGATTTTTTAACTAAAAACATTTTTGCATCATGTGAACACATGTATTTCATTCTTTGTGGTCTACCTTATAATGCTGTCAGCAGCTCGACTGTGTAGTGTCAAATGGTAGGATGAGAGATTACTGATGACTTAGAAAGGATCTGAAGGAAAGTGGTCATAGTCTAATCAGGGTACTATCCCAGCGTCTGCTTGGAGGGGCTGGGGGAAACTGCAAGAGATCTCAGTGTCTCAGATGAGATTCAAAGTGTTGATGTCACAGTGTAAGTCAAGAGCAGCACTGCTGTGCTGACACATTCATTTGAAGGGCACATGTACTCACTTCTAGCATAATTAAGTTTTTCTTAGTCTTAATTTCCATGTAGAGCGAAGTAAGTGTCTTTCACAGTGATATGGTATGAATATAGATATGACCTTCCTCTAAGGCCATTCCTCTCATCTGTGGGATTTGTTGATATATGATGAGACAACCATGTATTAAATTGTTATATAAATATTTATTATAGTCGTACAGAATATATGGATGAATATCTGTTTGAAGGTCGCTGGTTGCTGATAAGCTATGTGAAGAAGATTTCTCTCTCTGGTTGGTTCTTCATATATTAGTCCACCTTAACACATTCAGGACCGGAGGTGCCAATTGGCCCTCTACCTTTCTATAGCGTTGCGGACCGGGCGGGCCAATTGGCCCTTTTCTGACGCGTTATGTTGAAACCGACTATATCTTGCTGTGTGGCCACGTTGCATCATAACTACTGCGTAGTTGACCTCGGGAATGTTTGCTAGCTTAGCCAGTAACATGATCACGCTCATTTCCTATCACACCCTAAAGAAAAACAACCGGTCCGCAATGTGTTAAGTAGTCTCGCTTTGACCTTGTACTAAAGACCTGGTTCTCCTGTTAGGTTACTCTTTTCTGCTGAACTACTTCCCTGGAGACGTGATTTTCAGTCATTACATAGCGGTGATAATTATGTTGTAGGTTTTACCTAGCAATGGATTGTTTATTCAAGGAACGTGTCTCCAAGAAAATGTGTTTACCAGGCCGTTGCTTAGCAGTGGATGGTTTCTGTACTGTGATGGGCCAGTGCTTGACTGTGTATGGGCTGTTCCCACATCACAAACCCGCGGAGATGTTTGCTCAGCTGTTGAAGCTTAGCAGTGAAGCGTACGTGGTATCTGGAGTGTGTAGTTCATGTGGCAGGCAGTGGTGGTGTGACGTGGTGGTACAGCCAGGGTTGTGTGATCTGAGGGTTGAAGGTGGTGGTGGTCCCATGGCCGGTCTTGTTCAGCTTGTAGGTCAGGTTGATCTTATTGGTTGACACGGAAACGGGCCCTGCGCATGAGAATTTGCAGTGTTTTCTCCCTCCATGACAAGACCTAGTATGGGCCACTGCAGGGGCCTCAAATGCTCTGCTCATTGCATCCTGATAGAGGAAGATGTGTGCACTTCTTCAGGTCACTGTGCACAGATGTAGCTGGAGAAGCATGGCATATTGCCGGAATTGGTGTGAGGCAGGCCATATGTTGGCCGAGCTTGGTGATGAGGTGAGCTGGAACTAGTGGGTTTGTGCTTTGAGTGAGTAACTTGCTGCTGATTCTTAGAGGCCATCATATACGAGTTCAGCCTGCAGGTCCTCTTTGAATGCTGTATGGATTCTGAGGAGAACCAGGGGAAGCACTTCTCGGTCCATGTGCCACATGATGGCTGCCTTTAGCATCTGGTAGAAACATTCCACAAGTCGATTAGCTGCTGGGTGGTGGTCGGTTGTCCATGAGAGTTGAATGCTACAGAGCTTGGCCAGGGAGTCCAGGAGTTGAGATTGAAATTAATGTCCCTGCTTGGTGGTAACAGTCTGTCGGCAACTGAAGTGGGATATCCAGCCGGTCAGTAGGGCGCGTGCCACTGTGTCAGCTGTGGTGTCCAGGATTGGGATGACTTTGGGCCAGCGGGTAAACCAAATGGTTGTCTGCAGTGAGGCAGTATGTGTAACCTGCTGATGTCAGAAGGGGTCCCACGATGTCTATGTGGATGTGAAGAAAATGGGCTACTGCTGGTGTAAAGTTGTCCAGTGGGGTGATTGTGGCATGAGACTTTGGAGCGTTGGCAGGATTGGCAAGCACATGCCCAGGTGCAGCAATCCTTTTGTATGCCTGGCCACACAAAATGTGTGACCAGTTTTGCTGTTGTCTTGGTGCCTGGGTGTGACAGACAGTGGACGGACTGGAACACTTGGAGTTGAAGGGGAGCTGGAATATACTGCTAAGGTGTTCTGGCAAAGGTATCACAGTAGATGGACAACCTGGTACCAGAGATTGGAAGTTTCTTGAGCTAGCTGCAGGGTGGTGTTTGACTGCAGAAGTGTTCGGAGCTCTTCGTTTCTGTCCTGGAATGTTGCCAGTTCATCGTAGGATGGTGACAGTGATGGACTCGATGCAAGAGAGAGTGTTGGTGTAATCCTGTCCAGAGATGTGTCGTATGTCGATATTGAATTAAGCTATGAAGTCGAGATGATTGAATTGCCTTGGTGAGCATTTGTCCAATTTCTGATGGAAGGTGTAGGTGATAGGTTTGTGGTCAGTGAAGATGATGAAGTGGTACTGGTATTGAGCTGTTCGTAGTATTAGCGCCTTGTTAATTTGTGCCACTTTGGTGCTGTTCACATCTGGTATGCAATTCCTCTTCTAAGCTCTGTATTTGCTTTAGGAGGTCTTCTGTTCAGCTGCTGTCCATCATCCATGTTGTATTGTCAGGGCCACCAGTGTGGAATTTGTCGATCTAAGAAGAGACAACCACTTACTAAACTCTTATATAAATATTTATTGTAGTTGTCAAGAATATATGGACAAATTTCTGTTTGAAGATCACTGGTTGCTGATAAGCTGTGTGAAGAAGACCTCTCTCTCTGTGGTTGGTTCTCCTATATTAGTACACCTTAAGTAATCTCACTCCAACCTTATAGTGAAGACCTGTTTCTCCTGTTAGGTTACTGCATTCTGCTGAACTGCTTCCCTGGAAATGCGATTTTCAGTCTTTACATAGCAGTGATAATAATGTTGTAGGTTTTACCTAGGGATGGATTGTTTCTTCAAGACACTTAACCAAAGTATGCTGGATAACTGAATAATGTGACTCACCCAAGTGGTGTTCGAATTGAAAATGCATTACAGATAGTCCAATAAGTTGAGGTGAAAAATCATGAAGGATGTAATTGTGAAAGTGCAGCATTATAAACCGAGTAGCCAACCAAAGTGGTTGCAAAATTAGAAATTTTTGTTACTTATTTGTTTTTTTTTCCTTGGCACTACAGCCCCAGTGGGCCTAGGCCTACCTCCATGAACTTCTCCGATCACTTTGGTTTTACTAGATCTTACACGTTCGGTAGGACTCCTTGGGTGGATGATCAGCTCATCGCAAGGCCTCTACCTGTACACAAACACAGAAAAACGCACACACACAAACTAAACATCCATGCCCTGAGTGGGATTCGAACCCACAATCCTGGCTTCTGAGCGAGCGAAGACAGTACATGCCTTAGACTGCTCGGCTACCGTGACCGGCCACTTACTTGGTTTTACTGCCTTTAATTTTCATTGAAATGCTAATTCAGATAACTTTAATGCCATTCACATTAGCAGTTTATAAGTCTTTATTTTTTTATTAGGCACATAATTTTATTAAATGTATGAATAGAATTAAATGAAAGAATTTACATGCTATAGGTTGTAATGTGAAATTTATATAAGCCAAAATTGTGTAATTCAGAAAACACATGTTTGTTATAAGTCTCATGTCGTATAAGTGCCATCATGAACACACCTGACATGAGAACACTGACTGTTTTCTCTACATTCTGTCGCAAAAATTTGTTGTTGTTGGCATACTAGAATTTGCTCTTTGGTACCTTCCCTTGTGTTTCAGGCCAGCGGCCAAAGTTCCAATGAACATGCTGAGTAAGATGCTTCCAGAAGGCAGTCAGAGTCAGTCCTCCACTGACATTCACAGTACACCAATCTTGTTGAGCATGCGAACTATCACTGGCAGTGCTGCAGCTTCATCCAGTTTGGATCTTGACTTTCTCATTGGTAAAACAATGAAAACAGGAAGCAGTGGTACAACTAGTGGCCCAGGAGGAGGGGGTGATGGTGGTAGGAACAGGAGCTGTGCTTCATCTGATGTGCTTAATGGTGCGTTAAAAACTGTGCAAGAATTTATTATTTAACTGGTGGTTAGTGAAGGATTTGAGGTTCTCACAGTGGTGGTTATTCAGAGCTCGTAACTTCTTGAATATAATGCAGTGTAGTCTGTTGAAAGTCAGCCAGTGTTTTGGAGGGACATGTCACCTCCATCTTAAAGGTTGAAGAGTAAGTCAAACAACAAGCTAAGCTGGCTGCCAATTTAAAGTTTGTTTCTCGCTTGATGTACTCTTGAACCCAGAAGAAGCAACATGTACCTCTGAAACATCAGTTGTCTCTCAATAGACTACATGGTGTTAGGACCCAGAAGATATAACTCCTCAGTTCTTAGAGAAGTTTTACAGTGCTTAAATTGTAGATATTCTGTACAAATTAAAAACGGCACTGTATGTGGAGGTCATGTCCGTCTGTGTGTGTCACCACCAAAACCAGTGGACATATTTGTTAAAAATTGAATATGGGGCACTTTCACAACATTTGAGATGTGTCTTGTGGGATGTAATGCTGTGAAGTCTGGTAGAACTGTACTCATATGCTAAAGGAATGGCCTCCCTCCATTTCTTACCCTTCCTCACATCCCAAAAGACAATAAATAATCTTCATTGTGACCACTGTGAGAACCTCAAATCTCTCATACTTTGTTATTCATATTTGTAGTGTTTTCACTAGAACACGCAATTTTGGTCTTAACTCTTCTCCGTTTAGCATAATTTACAATTTATGCAGATCAATGAATGAAGAGTCCAGGCTCTTCTTTCTGCCCACAGTCTTATCAATTTCATGCCAGCTATTTTCATGTCTTCCAGTGTCTGCCTGAACCATGTTCTAGATTTTATCATAGGTCTCTCTTGTTGAATTTTAATTATGATGCTCTTCTTCGTAACCTCAATCTGTCTGTTCTTTTAGATGGCCAAATCATTGCTGTTGTTTCCCTTCTAACTCCATTAACAAAGTTTGGATTCCAGCTTCTTTCTTACCTGTACATGGTGCAGGTCCTGTTTGTTGGAATGTTGCCAAGGTAACCTCCTAGATTACATGCAGTAGTCATGGACTTGATGTTGTATTGATTAATGGCGTATATTTAATTTAGTTACTTGTCTCAAAATACAAGATGGGAAAGGTTGTCCTTTATAATGTAGTAGACACAGTTCCCACCAGCTTCATCGTAGTTTAATTAAGTTACCTGCATCCTGTTTATCCAGTTAAGTAAAGTGGACTGCAACTGTGGCTCAGTATGGCTAAAACTGGATTTGTCTGAAAGTTCTTAGTGCAAGCTTGCAGTATCAGATTTTAAAAATATATATCCAGTGATTCAGGTGCCAGTACGAAGTCGCAGAGGGATGGACACACAACCTCCACATAAGATATACATTTTTAGTTTGTGCAGAATGGCCAGTAAGTAAGTTTCTAGTAGTGCAAAGCAAAGGATCGGTATCAACAATACTGAGGCCCGCTATTGGACAGAGTTTTGAACTACTTCCATCCCCACAGTCTGATCTCCGAAGTTACAGCTTAATGCATACTTTGTTTTTCAGGGTCGCTGGTGAATGGTAGTGGTACTGATGACTCTATGGTAGATCTGTCAGAAGATGTGATAGAGGTGTGTCGGGAAGAATCAACAACCAGTGGTCCAGGTTCTAGCACTGAACAGAATTATAGGCTGGCAGAGGCATTTGTATCAGCATCAGCAAGGCAGGGAAGCGAAGAGGATGCAGCGAAGATGCAGGCAAGTAGAAGTGCCAGGACTTCAAATATATCACGGTAGATGAGGTGATTCAGAGGAGCATGCCTCCAGTAAAGTGTCCAAGCAGTTAGCTGTCACTAAATTGATTAATATGAGTCCAGTTTGGGCAGTTTAAGGAACTGTGTCAATTGGAAAGTGAGATAACCCTGTTCCAAAAATGAAGATTTTTAACAAAAAAATTGCATAATAATTTCAGTGCGAAAAAAAATAAGAGTTTTACACTACATGAACTATTAAAGTGTTTACCTGCAGCTTTAATGCACATGGGGGTGACAGTGTTACCATCCACTTCAGTAGTACAGCATGCTCATAGTTGTAGGTGGACACTCCTCTTTCGAGAATTCACCCGTGTTAACAGGACTTTTCTTACTCAGAATTACTTGATTTGTTATCCACAAAGTTTGGTGGGCTCCTCCATTACCCTTTGTAATAGCTAACATTTCAAGGAAGGACTAAGCCATATTAAGCTGAAGTTTACTGATGTAAGCATATGAAGAAGAAATAATTTGTGTCTTACCCAGTACTTGCACACTGCTGTAATAGCCATGGCTGCCATGCATGTTGATAAGAGTTGGGGGGTAAGTTTCACATTTGGGTGCTCTTGTTAGGTCTGTGGTAGGAAACAAGAAAGTGAACAGTTATATGTGTGGTGTAAAAGTATTATCTTTGCCCCTGCTTTCATCTATATATCCACTTCCTCATATGTCTTCACAGCATAGTGCTTAATATCCCGTTAGTATGTTCATGTAAATTGTTAATTAATAATTCATGTTAATAAACAAGTTCCTGCAAAGACAGATTCTTGGTGAACAGTCCGTTGCTAGGTTATGTAACAGTAGACGAGGCTGTGTTTTCTATGTGGTCTGAACCAAGGAACAGTAGAATAACAAGGTTATGCAATCCGTTTCTAAGCAACAGCTGGGTAAACACATTTCTGCATATCGGACCGTGCTATGAAAGCAGTGACATTATCAACAATAGAGACGGTGTTTTCCATGAGGTCTGTGCAGAGTGCTGATAAGAGAAGGGAATGACAGAATTCATTCAGGGCAGTTATGAATCAGTTGCAAACTGGAGTGAGTCCAGAAGCAATTTTCGTTCTGAGGTTCCAGAGTGATCGAAGATGAAGTAGTAAGAAGATTTCATAGTGAATTGAAGTGCTAATTTCTGTGTTGGATCCATTGCTAGGAGACGACTAATGGAAGCTGAGAATCTCTGCATGTGCAGCGATGTACTGGAAGGTGTGTAAATGAGCAGTAGTGCTGTATTAATGGTAATTAAGAGAACTTGTAACCAGAGTGCTAATAAATCCAATCATCCGAACTAGAACCCATTATTTTCACTGCACATACCACTCTACATGAGACATTTTGGTGTCAGAAGCAGGCGGTTCAGATTGTATTGGATTCATCGGCAGTGGTTACATCAGTAAATACATGACAACTGGTGTCAGGAGTAACTTGTTTGGTTTGAAGTGATTATTGAACAGAAGATTTATTTTACAGTGCCACCGAAAAAAAAAATGGAAGAGATGGAATTCCTGAAAGCCATTCTGGCCAAAATGAACACCAAAATGGATGTCACCAAGAAAAGATGGACACCAAAATGAAAGCCATTCCAGACAAGTTAGACGCCCGTCAGGAAAAAAGAGACCGATCTGAAACCACGTGAAACCAAAGACAGGACTGATTTGGAAGAAACAGAGGCCATGATTTTGGAGGTAAATCCATGGAAGATGGAACCACATCCAGAAAAGATAGAGACTGGAACAGAACACTGGGAGGTCTGCAAGGAGGAAGCTGCGATGAAACCTTTGGGGACAATGAAGAAGTGACACAAGGGCTGGAATCTAGCTGCAGGGCGCTGTGGGAAGCCGAAGGAACTGACCTGAGGATTTTGTGGATCCCAGAGGAAGTTGGCTGCCACCTGCAGGATGGTGTCACATCGTGCAGCAGTGGCATGGCGCAAGGGAAATGTCTTCAGGAAAATTCGGACCTGGAGAAACTGGGGATCCCGGAGTAAATTGGCCGCTGCTGGAATGAGGATGACCCACAGTGCAAAAGTAGGAAGATACAGGGAACACAGGCTTCAGAGACAAGGAAAAGACGATATTGCATTGAGAATCCTGACGGGATGGACGTTCAGGATGAAATGCTGGAAGGGCCCAGAATGCAAAATCTGAATAAAGGACCCATACGCAAGACTGCAGCTGCATCTCAAGATCAAGAGAACATCAGAGGAGTTAGACAGGAAGGCTTTCGGATTGGAGTTCATGAAGAGAGCAACCGGGATGTTCAGTGGGTTGCAGAAGGTGAGAGACTGGGCACTGTGGAGGGATTGGTGCCCTCTGGAGTGAGGAAACAAAAATTGGACGTTGTGGAGGGGTTGACCTTCAAAATGGAACAAGAATCTATTAACACTACTAGCAATGTGAGTGTAAGAGGAGCCAGAAATGTGTGAACACCGGCCACTTGGGATAATTTTTCCCCACCATTTGAAAAAAGAACGGATGATGGTGAGAACCTGGACTAACTGGAACCTTTTAAGGGAACCGCTTGGGACGAGCTGGCCTTAAGGAGGCAGCAGAGGGCCGTGCCATAGCTCAAGCGGTTAGTTGCTGGCTTTCCACTGCTGCGGCCAGGGTTCGATCCCGGGTCTGGTCAAGTGGGATTTGTGGTGGACAAAGTGGCGCTGGGACATGTTTTCTCCGAGTACTTCAGATTCCCCTGCCAATCTTCATTCCATCAATTGCTCCACAATCACCCTCATCTATCATCTGGGGCTGGTACAACAGGCCAGAAGTGGCCGCAGTGCAAGGGACTTAGTCCCACCTCACTAGTAATAAAAAAAAAAGGAGGGAGCAGTGGTAGTGGCCAGAGAGCAGCCACCGCAGAGAGAGAGAGAGAGAGAAAGAACAACTTTGAGTAAGACAGTGAAAGCACAGCCCCCAGAAAAGAAGGAAAGGTGATACACTATTAAGGAGGGAGCAGTGTTACATATACACATGTTTCCAAGCCACATGTTGGTAAACAAGTTCTTGCAAAGGTAGATTCTTGGTAAACAGTCCATTGCTAGGTTATGCAACAATAGATGAGGGTGTGTTTTCTATGCAGTCTGCACCAAGCAACAGTAGAATAACAGGGTTATTCAGTCTGTTTATAAGCAACTGCTGGGTAAACACATTTCTGCATAATGGAGCATTCTATGATAGAGCTGACATCATCAAGAATAGAGATGATGTTTTTGGTGAGGTCTGTGCAGAGTGCTCATCAGAGAAGGGAATGACGGATTTCGTTCAGGGCAGTTATGTGTCAGTTGTAAGCTGAAGGAATGAGTCCAGAAGAATTTTTAGGTCCGAGATTCCGTAGTGATTGTAGGCAATATGGCCCTGGGGTTGACTCAGCCTCTAACAGAAATGAGTACCAGGAATATTCCTGAAGGGGTAAAGGATGGCTGGCATGTAAGACTGACAACCTCACCACCATCTGTGAGCCGATTGTCTAGAAAATGTGTGAGCCTCAACATCTCACAACCCAATGGGCCTCCATGGCCTGTTACAGGGATGCCTTTACTTATTACTTACTTAATTTTTTTTTTCTTTTATTGCTAGTGTGGTGGGATTAAGTCCCTTGTACTGTGGTCAATTCTGGCCTATTGTACCAACCCCAGATGATACGTGAGGGTGATTGTGGAGCAATTGGTGGAATGAAGATTGGCAGGGGAAACCGAAGTACTCGGAGGAAACCTGCCCCAGCGCCACTTTATCCACCACAAATCCCACTTGACCAGACCCGGGATCGAAGCCAGCGACTAACTGCTTGAGCTATGGCATGGCCATACTTACTTACTTACTTTCTATGTTGAGGTCCATTGCTAGGAGATGACTAATGGAAGGTGGGAATCCCAGTGCGTGTGCAGTGTGTAAATCAGCAATAGCGCTGTTATTAATGATAATTAAAAGAGCTTGTAACTGAAGTGCTAATAAATCCAATCACCTGAAGTGGAACCTGCAATTTTTGTCACGCGTACCACCCTATACATGACAGTATATAAATTAAAATGATAAAGTAATGAGAATCAGAACACTTTCAAACTGTAGCTGACAAGGAAGAAACAATAGAGCAATAGGAAAGCATCATGCAAAAGAACATATAGTTAAAGAAGCGTTTCGATAAGGAATGCAATTGTAAGTATGACCTATTTTTCATTTATTCGTTGTTCAAACCTCTTTTAACTCTTTGACTGGCGCGGGCGTGTTTTAACGCCCGGACAATGCCAGCCGTTCCCTGGCGTTGGTGTGTTTTAACGCTTTGACAATCTCTTCCCTTCTTTGCTCTCTTGGCACTCATCAACCAAAGACATATATATGATAGTTTTTGTGCATGTTTGTAAAGAACCCTTATAAACTTTGTGGGGGTCTATATTACTGTCAGAACCCTCTGAGAAGGAAAAGGTCAGAAAATATTTCACATTCATTCAGTTTCACCATGGTTTCTTGCAGCAAGTGTCTTCCTGTTCCTACAGACCAGCTGGAAAATGTTGTGAACGAGATTTGTTCTGATGATGATAGTGGCGATGAAATAATGATTCCTGAATTGGATGAAGTTGATAGTGACAATAATACAGTGATAGACAATGATCCACAAGACAGTAATCATGAACATTTACCTACCACGAGTGCGGTGCCTGACACGCCCATCTCATGAACGTACGGAGACATTGTACCCCCAATATTTCCATTTGCTAATAGTTTCGGGATCAAAA